ACACCGGACGCAACCCTCACTCATACGTTGGTGTACGAATTGTTCTCTTCACCGCAGTTCATGCATGATCTTTTCGCTTTCAAGTATTCCACGCGGTCGCCAATCGCGTACTCTCAGGCATCGCAGAGAATTGAGGTGCATTCTGTGGCTGTGGATGCACTTGTCATGTTGGGGAGGATTGACCTTTGGGTGTATCGAATCGTATGGCTCTAGTGTGCCTTCCAAAACTGGGTTCCCAAAAAGTCGTTATCGTGAATCATCTCGAGACGCGCTTCCGTGGCTCCTTCCTATGAGTTTAACCTTCTCTCTCCTGCAAATCTTTCGCATACCCTTCAATTTCGTCCTCTGCGATCTAGTCGTGGATTCGAAACATCGAAAATTCTCATGAAAGGACTGTTCAAGATGCTAGTAGGGAATCACTGCTCATCAAGGAACGCAACTATCAGCGTAAATCTGCTAAATTTGTTGTGCCTCACGAGGTTGTTTGGGGGAACATTTAGCTAGAGCGCTAGTCAGTCGGAAAACCACAAGAAATTTAACAGACTTACAACTAACATGCCGAGGTTGCAAGAAGTGAGAAGTTGGACTCTCACTGTACACTTTATAAATAGTTAACCGTTTGAGTTGAATCCTCACGAAACAGTTTTAATGAGTGTTGGGAAAAAAGCGCCATCGAAACACTTTGGGGAAGGGTAGGGATACCTTTGACAGGAACAAGATCGAGGATGATGGAAGAGAAAATTATCGAATCTAAAGAGGAAATGGAATTTTCCCCTGTAGATAAAGCATCCTTCGACTGATTCCTACTTAGGACTTTTTAAGGTTTCAGTGGCTCTAAACGATTATCAGCAAAGTATTGAACCTGCTCAATCTTCTTTATGATGCTTTATGGGGGAAAAAGCTTGCGTGCTTATGAAAGAAGTGATGGTCGTTGAAAGAGTGTCACCGCAAGGAATAAAAACTTCGAAGGGGTACTTGAACAAAAATCTGGACACACTGAATGTGTCAAGCGATTTCAATGACTATTTAGTGGAGCAAATCTTCATTTACGACGCCATGTTAACTTTTTGCCTTTGGATGAACTTGTAGCCTTTGAAGGTATAAAAATTCGGCTTCTCAAATAAGTATTTTTGCAAAAAAAAGCCCTCAACGGAGCCGCTGTGGGAATATTAAATGAATCAGTTCACTTCGAGAAGCAATCTTCGAGAAAAGTCCGAATATTCTTTTAGGTTTTAAAATTCGTCCACTTTGATGACAGGTCTTTTTTTCGCAGAGAAGTGTGGATACTGTGGCTTCCCTCAGTGGCCCTGCCGCGATTGGCTGGAGCACAGGAGATTAAGGAACGGCGCCTGGCTTGGCTCCAAATCCCGAGGAAGGTGGAATCGCTAAAACTGAGCCTTGGAGGTGAAAGGACTCTGGGGTGGGTGAGCCAGATTGAACTGTGGCAAAAGTTGGAATGTGTGAAATCACAGTGGTGATGATGCTAGGCCGGCTATACAAGTGGGGTGGGCACGCTCCAGCTTTTCACGCATGTCAAGTGACTGCCCTCCCCCACCCTAGATTGGCTACACTCCCCCTGGCTCACGAATTCCCCGATTCTCGTGACAGTATAGTAGCGGGCAGCAGTTCCACTTACATACATTTTGTTCAAAGAAATGCGGCGTGCCCATCCCACTTGTATAGCACCAGCACTGTTCACCGATTTGAAGCGTTTTGAATGACCAATTTCAAGGAGTCCTAAACGGCAACCGGGGGGGGTGTAAGGGAGAGGGGAGAATATCTCAGAGTTTTTCTCGACTCGTTGCTTAATACTGGCTGGCACTGCTTCGGACTATCTTTTGTCAGTTAATGTTTCTCGGTTTCTCTTAGCCACCTGACAGCAATAAGTAAATACCGCCGGATTACCGTAGTGAAGGACCAGGGTCAACCCTATGTTGCTACAAGTAGCAACGGGGGTCGTATTTTGATGAGTTTGTAGAGGGGGGTCGTACTTGCTTCGGTTGTAAGAAGTTGCATGTGATGAGTGGGGAGCGGCGCGGGAGAAAATTTGCCGTTTCAGCGCGCGTATATACCCCCCCGCTCGACGGTAATTTTTTGGGGTAAAAATTGTTTTGAAAGAGGGGGTCGTATGAAACATTTCATGAGGGAGGGGGGTCGTAAAAACTTTTTGAAAAGTAGCAACGATAGGACCGACCCTGGTTGGAGGGATCATACTGACTGCGCAGTCTCAGGTTTTTCTTAAAGGAATCTTGCGCGGAAAATTCTTGCACTCTTTCCTAACATGAATATGTCAGTTGTGATCACTGGAAATAGCACACAAAGTTTCACGCATGAAGATTCGGTTTCTGAAGAGAAACAAACGTACAAAAACTACACGTTATGGACCATCGAAGGACCAGGAGGCAGAGCCAGGCGAGGCATGGAAAGAAGACGGCGTTTGGCCGGCTACGTACCAGGCGACGCAATGAGAGAATCGGGTTAAGCGCGCGATTTCGGAGAGTGGAGACAAATCGATCGATGGAATAGGATGGAGTAGAAGTGTAAGATGTGAATGCAACGAAGCAGAAGGCCAGAAAGAGCTTCTAGTGAATGCACTCCAAGAACCAAGTTTGAGCATCCCCGTCGCCAGCATTCGTGAAAGACGTCCGTGGGCAATTCGAACGCGTAGCAGCCTTTTCGAGTTTTCGAATTTCTAATCAAAACGAAAGCAATACTTCAGTTCTTTTCACTATTATCGTGGATAATGAGTCTCAAGCCAGTGATTTATGGCTGAAATAGAATCATGATTTTTCCGCGCAAGATTCCTTTAACCATTAAGGCTAGGCCAGTACCGCGATCCGTCGCGCGATTTGCGCGAATCGCGGACTCTGACACCAGCCGGATGGTCAGAAATCGAAGTGCTCGATCAATACTGCGAGGTGCTCTCCAATCCTGCCGCCACTCCTGCTTTATAATGATGATTGAATGACGACTGTTCATGATTCTGCTTGTTTCATACTCAAGCTGTTTCAAATGCTCGAATGGGGCTTTTGCGGTTTCTGACACCTGACTCTGAGGACTTTGCGAACTCAAACACCAGTCTAAGGTCCGGCGGAAAAGGTCAGTTGGTCAACCCGGCCAATTGAAACGAGGTGTATATCCCTATAACCTCAAAACGCCAAGCTCCTATATACTTTCCTTATTTGCTACATGCTTTGCGAAAAGAATTATGAAGCAGAAAAGCACAGTGGAGTGGTCGGGACTGATGAACAGGAAGTTGTGAGATCGATTTCTTGGCGACCTTAGTCTTTTGCCTTTAGCAGAAACACAGATAAGAAGGTTCCTGATACCGCTAATAATGGATCTGCTTGCAAATCCTTCATAGATGTAACTTTGGCGACCGTCTGTATAAAATAACGTATCAACAATGAACTTCGGAATAACCGAACCCGCAACCAGGGTTAACCTTAAAATTTTAACGACTCCCCCGCCCTTTCGTAGGGTATCGATATGCCTCCCCCCGTATTGGCTAGTGCCTTTTACATATTTTTATGCCCATCATCTAGGTAGGGGTCGTTACCGACATAGGAGAGGTGGTGGACAGTGTAAGCCGCGCGCTTTGTCTCGTTCAGGGAATCGAGGCAAGATTACATTTACTCATAAATAGAAGTAACTTCCAAATTTTTGCGTAAACCTAGGCATGGTAGTAATCGCAGAGATTTCTACTTTCAGAAACCTACCAAGTTTTTTCGAACTCTCAATCTCCTTTTTTATAAACTGAACAACTAAACCTTGCAGCAATTACGTTACGATACAAACCTCTTCATTCAAAAGGTCATAACTTTCTTCGGTCATGAAATGGGATACAAAATTTAAAAATACAAATGCCCCGGATATTTTTCCAAGATCATTTTTTAGGGAAAATAGTTCCGTTGTTCCGTTTTAGGGGTTTGGTCCGATTTTTGAGAAGGCGCGAGTTTTCGACATTCAAACGTTCATAACTTTCTTCATACTCAACTATTTTGCAGATGTCTAAGGCTAATTAGAAACTAGAAGACTGACGCTTTCGAAAGAAAATGTAAATCTGCCGAATTTCGCAGTACATTCCTCCACTTTGATTTGGTCTAGATTTGGTTCAAATTGTTTTTCTGAAACAATTTTTTTTGCTTGTATCCACTGGAACATGACCGTACCAGCTGCGCCGGCGATCGATGGTAAGGCTGGATTTTCGTAACGTTCATGACGGAGCGGGCAAAACACTGAAATATAAGGGCGGAAATGAAACCTCCATAACTCCTTTCAGAGAAGCAGAATTGGGCTCAGCGTCCCAAGACGCGTGGAAATGTACCTCATTTCATATGGCCAAGTTGGCCTGACGATCGTTCTAGTTAATCCTACTGCTCCTTACTTGTAGATGCCATCTTTCGCTAGAGGATAGGAGTTTTTAAAGGTGTAATGTTCTAATAGTAGTAAATAAGAAGGAGGTCAACACCCTCATGTGCTAATCCTTAGGACTGCACAATCAAGCTGGAGTTCATTTCTATGAGCCCGTTCTTCGATTTTGATCCCTACTACACCACTAATCACTGGACTGTGAAGTTAAAGTCAAATGCTCGAAGTACCTACTGCATAAAGTATTGGCGGCAATGCCGGCTCTCGCTTGTTTCCTCGCCGCTGCCCTGACGTCAAAATGACGTCACAACACGCGAACGCGTCCGCGCTGCCGGTGAGCTTTTCTATGGAGCCATTGAACAGTATTAATGATCTTCAGTAGAAGTGAGGAACTCTTTCCTAAGGACAGTGATCTGAGCATTATCCTGTTGCGAATTTTGGAACACAGTTCCAATTTGCTCTGAACATTTCATATTTTCCACCAGGTATAATTTATTCATAGTAAGATAGTCAAATCAACGATCGAATCAACTCAAAAGCTTTTGTAATTGCTGAAACGCTATGGAGTTCTTAGAATTGTTGTTTCGTAGTTTGCGTAGGATAAGAATACCATTTTTATTTTAGCGGAGATGAACCAGTTAATGGAGCGGGTGAATAGACTGGAGGAGAGGATGAATGGACTAGATGATTCGAAAGGTAGGAGAGTTTTCATAACTGCTTTCTGTTTCTGTATTTCCTCATGGATTCTTCCGATTTTCGTTCAGACTAAGTCTGGCAATAGCGGATCTGCAAGTGGCACCAAAGAATCAGGGAAGAGAGCCTGCAGATCAAGAAGAAAACGCTGCAAACCAAGAACAGGGTCGGCTTGCTAAAGTGTTAGAGCCTTGAAGGCTTAGGCTTCCAGATTCAATATTTCTCTACCTGAACCGATATCCTTTTTCAGATGATTTTGTTTATGAGTACCTCAGCAGAGAGAAAGTGAATGCGGTGTTTACTCTCTGCGAGAATGATTTGGAAGAGTTTGTACTTGATCTAGCAAGGAAAATTCCCGGAGACTGGATGTATTATAGTCAGCCGCGCTATAGTTTGAACTATAGGGAGGTGTACTTTAGTCGTGTCGGATTCATTAAAAAGGTGAGTGAAATTTGCGACAGTTCATCGTGCACTATAGGAACCTTTCTTCATCTGAGTGCATACTGACGATTTCAAACTTTGTAGTGGTCAATAGGGTTTGATGTTTTCAGTGTGTTTTCAAATACTACAAAGTACCTGAACATTTGCGCAAAATCGTGTGGAAACCATTGAAGAACGTTTGGATAAGTTCGTACAGGAAAGGATAAAGGCGTGAGCGATTTTGAACAACAGCACAACACTAGCTCTTCGAATTCACGCCCTCAAACAGCTTGGGACCTTCTGGACGTATAACTATGCTAGGCATATTTACTTACATTTATGCTCATGTGTTTAGATTAGATTTGCCTCGTATTATAATAAACTCTTCACATAAACCGTTCAAAGTTTTCAGCTCGAGATCGCTTTGCTTACAACACCACATGAGTTGACACTGTGGGAAATCAATCTCAAGAGTGTGCCAGATTCCACTTAGGAATTGTTTAGGTGAGCACCGACCACCTTGAATAAATCGCCTCCCGGGACCAACACACTGCTGAAGCTTACTACACATTTGGTGCTCACTTAGCTGGGAATGGGGGGGGACCACGCGGCGGCGATGAAGCAATAACTATGACCCCCCCCCATCCCATTCAGGGGCCAGAGGAACGCGTCTCTCTCCTCCAACGCTTGCTCAGGCAGAGGGAGAGAGGTTATTGGAAGCCACCGTTCATATGTGAGCGTAGCTTCGCTCCTGACAGTTAAGGTAACGCTACCTCTCATGTTTAACACATTGCGGACTGCCGTTGTATGAGCACCTTCGCATTATTCTTATATTTTTTAAAGTGATTATCTCAAAAATTAATATCAGTCGAACAAATTTATATCAGTGATTACCCGTATGGTTCGCCCGGCTCTGAAAATGAGTGCAAACAGTTTGGAGAGCATTGAAAAGTGTCAAACAAACCAGCTAAAACTATGCTGTTTCGTGCGAAATCGTGCGCCACATGGTGGCGCACGCGGTACGCAATGTGTTTTAAATGCGAGAGTGACAGCTACAACAGCGCAGGGCACATTCGGCAACCAATGGGGGTTAACGGGGGGCAAGCTCACAGCGAGACCATGTCTCTCCCTTCCCCAGCCTTTAAAAGGTACGCGTCTCCGTCCCTGGGGAAATGATAGCATACAGTCTCTGGAGAGTCAATGCATCAACGGGCTACTACTCAGTCCTTTAGCCCTTTGACTGGTGTTGGTACAAATATGTACAACCCGTATTCGGAGTTCTACCACAGTTTGACAAAACTTCTGAGAGAGGGTGTACGAATGAAGACGTAATCGAGCGAAAGAGAAATATCAATCTTTGCGTTTAGAACGCTAATACAATGGTAAAGCTGGTCTACTGGAATTGAGCTTATCACCGAGCAACTTTCTAGCCGCATTGCGACGTCTGAACAGGCTGGGTATTTAGCCTCACAAAAGTCCTTGATAGTAGTCCGCCCCACCATTTTTTTTGAGTAACATATTTAGTGTCTGCTTATGAGGAATCGTTTAAAAAATTTGGCAGAATTTTCGAGAAAAATTAGGTCATTGGAAAATAAGGCATAGAGGTGGTCAGTGGAGCAGGAATGGAGGAAAAACCATGTGAAACGGCCCGAAAACCCGAGAAAAATAGCACCTTCCTTGCCCGTTGATTTGAGCATTGATGCGACTCTCATTGTTGTGCCCTCTTCAACACTACGCTCTCTCTGCTATCTAATCACTCGCCACGTATAGACCTGCGGCGAGTGATTAGATAGTCGGTGGGCGTACCCGCCAACCGCGCCAAGTGTGAGCCAAAAAGCAGTGATCACCGAATTCAAATCTTTGCTCTCAATCCCGCGTCGGTCAGCATCTCAAGGAGGTCCGCCTGTCTCCCAACTACGCGATTTTCCCTTCTTTGACCTTCGTTCGTATCGTGAATTCCTCCTTTACCTTTCCGCTCCGGAGATTGAATCCGTGATATTATTTCGCCTGGGCCAAATCTCTGCAATTTGCCTATATGGTAAAGCCTTTCCAAGACTCACAGCGAAATCGAGACGGGATGTGATAACCCTGCCGTACAGCGAGTTTCTGATTCAAATTCTGTCTTGCAAACTGCTGGTCGAGTTTCTGATTTGTCAAAGGTCTTAAAGGCAAACCCCTGGGATTAGCCCGACTAGTAGGAGGGATTCCACGGGGGAAATTTGTAAGGTCCGTACGTAACTGGATCACTCCAGCTTCGTCGCAAAAACTGCGCGGTTAGGGCGCTAGTCCTTACGGGCCCGCAACCATCGACTCCCTTTCCAACGCATCCTACCCGCCGCGAGAGGTGGTGAGGATCAGCGTGCATTGATGTAGAGATCAGCGTGCCCTCCTCAAACGACGTGCTCTCTCGCGTATTTTGCTTCTTTGACCACAAGATTATAAGTTCAGGAACATAGGGTGTATACCGTAACCTTCTCGACGTTGCACTGGGGCGCGCATTCTCACGTGTCATCGATTTTCTCGTCTTCTCTGCACCCTCTCAACGAAGAGAGAATGCGTCGAGCAGGCCCGCGCAGAGTACTATGCGCCGTTTATGTAGAAAGGTGGAGGACACAACGCAAGTCGGTTGTCGCCACGACACGTGTTCGGGATTGAGGCCGGCATCCCTGGGGTTGAGCCTCCATGGGTGCGGCGCGGCGGTGACTGCGCTCGCGCAGCGTTCAATACCTGCGGCCGCCCGCGCGCGGGACGAGTGCGAACGCTTGACGTTGTGTCTACGGCACTCGTCCGCGCGATGCGGCAGCCTCACCGGACGCTGCAACGGAAGTTTCGGTTTTCGTCGCGGGCTGTTCGGCCTTATCGCCAAGCAGCGAGCCGGGACGCCGCGACGGTGTTCGGTTTGGTCTTCGCGCAAGCGGCGAGCCGGACGCTGCGACGGTGTTCGGCTTCGTCGCGCAAGCGGCGAGGCGAACGCTGCGACGTCGCTCCATTTTTGGGTTCGCTGCCCCGAACAGCAGGGGCGGCGTCGTTGACCGCTCTCACACTAGTGCTGGCATTGTGCACTGGAAAGCCTGCAACCGCGCTCTGACGCAAACGTGGGTTACGGTATACATCCTATGTTCCTTAACTTATAATCTTGTTTCTTTTTGACCACCTTTCTCGCCATCGTACCACATTCTACCCTACTGAAGGTTAAGGCCTTAATTGCAGCGTTCCCAAGGATATCTCTTGCTTTCCTTTCCACTTTCAGGTCGTTCCGCAGCTAAGCTATCACCACAAAGCGCTGATAGCACCTGTTTAATCCCGGAGTTTGCCTTTAAGAGCGAATGGAACGCCCAAACAGTGGTAGCGGTGTGGGCTCTGGGGCAAGGGCCCGGTTCTTCTTCGAGTGTAGTCTGCACTTTTCGCGTCAGAAGGATGGTGTAGATCATGGAAGAATGTTCAAGCAGGGTCAAGCGCGCGTTGAGGAATCATCGACAGGTCGACAGGGGTAGGGGAAAGAGTGAGGCTAATCGCCCATGCGATGGATGAAGAACAACGAGGGGGTCACATTTCGGTTGATCGGTGTTAAGTAGCCTGAGAAGGTCTGTAACTCTCAAGGTACAATCACAACAATTGAAAGCCATCAAGGCATGACTAAGTGGCACAGGGAGGGCCTCTGGGTCGGTTTCAACTACTAGCGAATTAGGCGCTGACACAGACCACTGGGATGGACGATCTCCGGATTGCGGAAGACCTTTTACTAAGATACGTCATGTCCCAGCGAGCACAAGCTGTTAAATCTTCTCAGAAGTAATCCACCTAATTATCAAATCAAAGTGCGAGGAAGGTGCAGCGAACTGGCCGCGGATCGGCTCTAGAATCACAGATCAAGCATCGAGGGAAAACTCTGAGGATACGAACCCCCCCCTCAACCGGGCAGCGAACTTTTTCGTTACAGACGCCCTGTAGTGGTGTGATATGATTGCTCCTTGCCACCGTGAACCTTGGAGAAGCTTGATTGAACATTTGAGTCAAACTATTTTAATTCCCGAATAAAGTTTTGCAGGCGTCTCTTCGAGGGAAGTACTCGTTGCTGGCAAAGTTCTAATTTGTAGAAAAGTCAAATCAGAATAACACCATTTCGGGTACTAACGAGCGAAAATGTGTGAGAAGCACGAGTTTGGTTCACATTTGGAAGCAAGCCTTCCCCTGTCAGATGTAATCTTTCAGTAGCTTTCTACGTATCGTTAAATTGGTAAGTGCGAAAGGTATTTGATCTGAACTTCTTTTCATTCAGGCATCTCGAATAAACCACCGCCGTTGATGGATTTTGCTTGCAAAAATAACGCGGGGAAAATTTTCAGATGCCGCAACCTTTTTACATTTTCGAAAACCATAACTTCTGCAAATACATGAAATCAAAGGGATTGATATTGGGTTGTCCGGAAAGTTTCCGCCAATTTTGACACTGAATCCAAATGCGCATACTTCCCCTTCAAAACAGGAGTTTGAACGTTACAATCTTGGAAGCGCTGGAATTCTGTAAGCGATAAATCCGGCGAAGGCCATTTCAGCATCAGGCTGAACTTCGAAGCATTTCTCTTCAAAGAAGCTATCCAGACGGTAGGAAAAGTGGCAGCGGATATGCAAGAGGTTTGGTGAGTAAGATGTTAGCAACGCACTTTAGTAGCCCATCTAGTTCAGTTTCTACAGGGTCAGCGCTGCGGTGTAGGTTCGAGACACATCGCGTGGAGGAGTCATTCCCCTTTATGATAATTCTTATTGAGCGCATTCATTAAAGTTTCGGTGTATTTGACAACTTGTTGAAAGTAGAGTCCTCTGCAACATTTCCGTCTGGGCTTGAAGAGCCGCACCTGCCACATCCTTGTGAAAGTGTTCACAACTCTGCCCTCGTGCATTTCCACCTTCTAAAAATTTGCTGACCCTAATCTCGATCAAAGTTTCAGAGGAGGCTCGTCGATTATTGCCACGAATCTTTCTGTGTTGCACGTTACAATTCAATCAAGAAAAGGGTCGTTTTCATTGAGTAGAAGAGGGTAGAAGGAGAGCGGATGAGTGTTGGAAACAGGGACTCTCAGCGCTACTCGCTTGTCGACTTTTTCCAAAATTTTCGGCCTTCTGCATTCATTTTAAAATCACAAGTAGACTAAATTTTTTCGAACTTTAGTTAATTTTTATTCATGTCCGATATCCAACCTCTACCCAATTCATCTTCGAGGCTCTC